TGTCGCTGCTGCTGCTGCTCGGCGGCCTGTCGCTGCTGGTGGCCCGAGGTAGGGCTTCCCCCGCTCTTGGTCCCCGCCCCCCCTCGCGGGGTCCCCGGAGTTCTGGGTGGCCGGAAGGCCAGGCGATGCCCCCCCTTCTGGGTCGACCACAATACCATGGAACCCCCACTTCCCAGATACATCCACCAGGGGCCTTCGCTCGGCCACCGGCCCCCCTAGGCCCGGACGCGGTCTCCCTTGGGTGAGGGAGGCAGGAGCGCTCTGCACTGGAAGTCCCTGGGTCTTTTCTCCTACTGCCCCCACCCCGTCCCCATGTGGGCGCGTTCTACCCATCTTGCTGACGAGCAAACTGAGGCGGGAGAGTGGGGACTGTAATTTGTCCAGTCGTCGGGTAGGGGGTGGACTGGAAGAAATGGGTGATAGCTGAGGGGCAGAGGGAAGTTAGCACCTAGCCACCTCCTCCCTACCAGCTGGGACATGGGGCCCAGGACAGTGTTCCTGACAGGCTCCATGTCCAGCGGGGACGGAGAAGAGGCCACTTCTAAGTCCACCACCTGGTGGCAAGGGTGATGGGGGCAGAATTCTTTAGCAGATCTATGGGCCAGAGCCCCTTCCAGCCCAGGAGCCCCCAGATTGTGCCCACCCAAGCTGCGCCCTTCTCCCTAATCCTCTAGGCCTGACTGGGGGTGGGGGTGGCTGGCCACCAGCTGTGGGTCACAGCAGGGTGGGGTGGTAGAGTCAGGACCTCTGACCTCTCTGCTGACCCCCTGGCTTCTCAGGGCTTTTAGCAGGCCTGAACCTCCGGGACTCTTTTTCTCCAGGACCACCATGGTTTCTCAAACTCTTTGTCCCTGGTTTCCTGTAGTTTCTTTTGAGTTCTCTGATGACCACCCTCCTCCTTAGTCAAAAGGTCACTAGTCCCAGCTAAGACCTGCAGGAATTTAAGGAGAGGCTGCTGGGTGGGGGAGGGAGAGGCCTTGGCAGAGACTTCCTGCTCTTTGCTTTGGTCCATCTCTGCTGGAGGGGCTTGGGCTGTTCCGGGCACTGGCTCACTCCTGGGCATGTCCTGAGTCCTTTCTCTGGCTGGAGACAGCAAGGAGAGGCACAGGGCTCATTGTGGGCGCCATGAATCTTGGCAGTCCCTGGGAGCTCATGGGGGTTCTTGGAGGAGGTGGTGTTGGGCCAGGAGCTGGCAAAGGAGCATGGGTAGAAGGGCATTCCAGACTGAGGCAGGCAGGGGGAAAACCAGAGGCTTTGAGCTGGGGGGAGAGGGGCGTGCACGACTCTCATTGGAAACGGAAGGGACCTCAGAGACCCTACCTTTCACAGAAAACAGATCCAGAGAGAACGTGTAGTTCAGCTCTTGGCAGCCCAGGACTCCCCAAGATCACCATCGCTCTTCTCTCCTGTCCAGAGTCAGAAAAAAGTTATTCCCTGTGCATATTTAACTTTGAGTGAGCAGCCTGGGCTTGCCAGCCTGGAGCAGCTCAGCGGCCGCCGAGCCGGGAGGGTTTTGAGAGCCCCTCCTGTGCACTGTGATAAAAGGACCCGCATCTGTAGCCTGCAGCCCTTTAAGACTGTTGCTTCTACCACTCCTGGGTCCCCGAGAACTGTGGGTCCACAAGGAAGGCTGCAATTTTCAGTAGCCAGAGAAAAGGCAGTCGGGGAGGGGGCCCTTGGCTGATCTGCCACAGCTCATTTGGCGACATGCCACGTGGCCACTGACATACAGAAGGGTCCTGGTCTTTCTTGCCGAGGCAGAGATCAGCAAGCGCGTGTCTGTCTTGTGTCTCTGTCTGTCCTGCTGGGCTTTGCCAAGGGTGGGAGGGGAAAGAGAGGAGGCGGGTGTTGGAAGGAGGGTTGTGTTTCTCCGAGGCTTTCTTGGCCTCTGTCTCCTCTTGGCCTCTGTCTCCGGCGGGCAGAGTTCCCCACTGATTAAAAGAAAGCTGTGTTGGGAGGGTGAACAAAGGCCAGAGAAGACTTGGCTTAGGAACATGTGGCCCCAGCCTCTCCTGGAAGTTTCTCAGTCGCGAGGTGGGGCTGGGCGCTGGAGGAGGAAAGGGATACCCTGGGGGAGGCTCTGGGCCTGTCTTGTGTGTCCCTGCACTTGGGCAGCTCCCAGCCCCAGGCTGTGTGCCCTCCTCCAGGCTCTGAGAGCTGGTGCACGGCCCCTGGGAATGGAAACTAGTTCTCTCCTCCTCCTCCTGTGAAAAGCCCTCAGAATTCGGGCAGGACAGTCTGGTGGTTTTCTGTTGTAAAATGGAGATAACAAAAGCCCACTTCTTGGGACTGTGTTAGGACAAGCTGCCGTGGCAGCTGTTAGCATTAGCTATGATTTGTATTGTCCCCTGTCCTGTGTAGGACAGTATCGTTTTCTCCACAACTGCTCTGCTATTTATTTGTTTGTTTTGAGATAGCATCTTGCTAAGTAGTTTAGGCTGGAATGAACTGACTATGTGGCCTTGAATTTGCAGCAGTCTTCCTGCCTCAGCCTCCCAAATGCTAGGACTACAGGCTTACGAGGCTCTGCAGGGTCACACAAACCATTCACTCATTCCCTAAATACCCGCCAGGGGATACAGAGAGGAAGCCCTTTGTCTCTGTGTGACTCACCCCCTCCCCCCATCCAAAGCATGAGCCTAGGGAACTTGCTAGAGTTCTGTCTCTTCCTCACTACTGGAGGAGACCCTTGCCTGAGACTTCCTGAGGGCTGAGCTTGGGAGTAAGGGGCACAGGGGCGGGCATCTGCGCAGGTGAACTTCTGTGCGAATGGTTCTAACATTGTCATTTTGTACAACGATAAGGTTTTTCTTTCTCAATATGTCAAACCAGAACAATGCGAAGTATGCTTCTGGCTTCTCTGATCTCAGCAGTGGCCACATAACCAAGCAGAGGCCTCCTGTGCTCCTGACTTTCCATCGGAGACCCTCAGGAGACCCTCAGGCTGGGGGGCAGCTGGAGGGGAGGTTGAGACTCGGTGCTTCCCAGCTCCTCCCCCCAGAGGCTGGTGCAGGAGGGAGCGGGATATGTGTTTGTGATACATCGTGGAAGTGAGCGCCTGTGCAAGACACATCTTAATTCTTTTCACGTCTCCTTTCCTGCCTTCTTCCCCTCCCTCTTCCCCATGGTCCACTTTTGCAAGAGCTCTATCTCCCTGTTTGCTGTTATCTATTATTTTGCTTTTTATTTCTACATATATTCAAGCTGTGTGCCTGACTTACCTCACTTGATATCACACTCTCAATGTGCATCCATTTTCCTACAAATGACTCAAATTTATCTTTCTTATAGTAGAGTAGCAGCATTCCACTGTGTGTAAACACCACTATGAAAATCAGTATGGAGAGCTGGAAAAAACTAGAAGAAATTCCTTTCCGCCGAGAGTAATTATTATCACTGTCGTACACAGTCAGTAACTCACAGACCCCTCTCAACAGCCCTATGAATTAGATGGACCTAGTATTTTTCTTGAACCTCTTGCTTTTGCCTTGTGTTACCTGTGGAATGGAAAAAGACTTATGTTTTACTCCCTACAAGTCTTGCTTTAAATCCTCTCGGGGCCAGCTCAATGCGGTTCCTGGGGTCAGTGCTGCCCGAGGTTGGTGGAGAGTGGGCACTGGGCGTCTGCCCCAGGACCCTCTCCCCACAGCCCAGCTTGGAGACTCCGGCCCCTTCTTACCCCCAGGCCCCGCTGCACCCGAGTAACCTCCATGTTCTCACACTAACAGAGGAGACGCTCTTTGTCCTCACTGTCCAGGGTGACAGAGAGGTGGGGAGCATGTCCTAGCACATAGCTGCCCAGGGTGCCAGGCATCCTGACTGCGGCATCACACTGCTGACCAGGCCCCTGCAGCCTCGGTGGAGTCCTCAAGTCAGCTTGGGTGTTGTGGTTTCCTTCAGAACTTTATGAAGAGGCCCCTGGCTGGGTCTGTAGCTCCTCTGCTATGTTTGTGGGGCCTCAGGCCACTTCCTGGATCTCACAGCAGCCTTGGAGCAGCTGGGATCACGTGATGTCGTCTGTTCATTCATTCACAGACACCGATTCCGTGTTGGTTGGTGCAGCGTGGGGAACAGTGTGGAATGAGACTCGGCCTGTCCCTGTCCTCCTGGTACTAGTAACAGGGGTGGTCATTTGTGCTCAGTGCTGGGGAGTTCAGGAAAGAGATCATGCAGGAAACAAAACAGATCTGTCCTGTGGGTCTGTGTGCTCGTGAGGACTCTCTGGAGGATGGGCCCATTGAGCTGGTATTGCAGGAATCCCTGGCCTTGGGAGAGGAGAGGACCCAGGATCCCCTGGCCTGCGGAGCCCTAGCAAAAGATGCCTGCCAGGTGCCAGAGAGGGGAAGGCACTGACCAACCCGGGCCACTCCCGCCCCAGGCACTCGAGGGCCAGGCAGCTGTCACACTGTCCCTGCTGCTGTCACTGGTTTGTGGGTAGCCTGCGCTGTGGGTCACCAGGCTGTGCAGAGTGGCTCTTCCCTGCCCCCTGCCCCCCCAGACCCGAACAGGCACACATGGTATGTTCTTTACAGGGACCCCTGTGTGCAAGAGAGCCCGACAGGGATGCGCTGGCTGTCACTGGTGCCGTCTGCTTCCTCTTCCAGCAGGATGAGTGACACAAGAGTGGCGGGTGGCCTGGTTTCTTCCCCTGCAACACCTCGGGCTCATCCTCAGGACCCTGGAGTTAGAACCGAACTCCAGGCTTGGGGGCCCCAGCAACACTCTGCACCTTGAGCAGCCTTTAGCTCCTAGATCCTAGCAGCTCACAGGCCACTTGGAAATGTGACCAGGCATTGCCCACAGCCCCTGCAGATGGACCAGCAGGCTGACGTTCTGGAAGCTTCCACCTGAAGAGTGGACAGAACCCTTCAGCCGCCGGCCCAGCATATCTGCAGTCTTGGGAAGACCTGGCATCTATGTTCCCACTGTGCTCTGAGGGCTGGCGCTGTGTGCCCCTAAACCATGAGCCTCCACTGCCTGGGAACAGCTGCCTTGGCACACCCCATAATTAGGTGCCACGATCTTTGGGAAGGTTCCAGTCACCTGGAGGAAACTTAGCATTAGTTGCAGTCTCTGGTGACACGTAGTGCTTGGCACCTGTGAACGAAGCCACCTCCCACCCTCACAGCAGGTGTGCAGGCACCGTCTCATTCTGAGGGCTCTGTTCTTTCCTGTGGGCATGGTACTGGCTGAGGCACTGTCCCTGGTGACCTCGTTCATCTTCCCAGCTGCACACAGTAGGTGACCTCCAACACACTGTACCCCAAAGGAAACCAGGCTCGGTGAGGGCGAGAGAGGGCTACTGAGAGATGCAGATGGACCAAGGCCAGGCAGTGCTTTTCTTTTCTATTTCCTTTTCTCTCTCAATACTAGAGATTGAACTCTGAGGGTCTCTACCTCCCCAACATTTTAAAAAATTTTGTGATACGATCTTGACAAATTGCCGAGACAGGGCTGGAACTTGCATCCTCCTGCCTCAGCCTACTAGAGTGCCAGGATTACCGGTGTGGGCCATGACCAACGCTTGGCGAATTGAGCCCCCCGTGTTGCCTTCCCTCAGGACCTATGATAGAAAGTTAATTATACTTCGTAAGAGTTTATTCTTGGTTTACACAGAGTTTGTCACACAGACAGATGGGACCTCATAGGTACCTTTGGGCACCAAAACTGCCTTGCTGACCTTATTTGAGTTTGACCTCAGAGGTTCCCGATTTTGTGAGGTGGTCACAAACCTCACATTTTCAAAGTGGCAGGAGGTCAAAACAGGCCAGTTCCTGGTCTTCCACTTGACCCCACTACTGGGTACTTTATCAGAACCCAGGGGACATACCTCCCTAGGAGAACATTTTTGTTGTTATAAATGTTTACAGTCATCTTTATTCTGCCTGCAGGGTTATAGTTTACGGTGGACCTTTGACTTACAAGCTCAGTTCATCTTCGATGGCTGGTGGTAACTCAAGTTGTTCGATTGAAGGCTCAGGCCTTCAAAGTCTCTGTCCTGTACACAGGCAGATCCCAGTGTCCTTGGAGAGACCCTGGCCCAGGATTTCTCAACCCCACACAGGAAAGATGTTGCAACGTTCTTTGCAGAACTCTTTGAGGGTCAAACCTGTATCTGAGACCATCGGGAAGCACAGGTGGCTGGCATTTGGGTCACAGCTCCAGACTTTGATCATAAGTTAAAACTAAAATTCCGGTCCTAACCTAAGTCGTATGTGTGTCAGGCCGGTCGTAGCAGAAGGGTCCGCTGTACTTAGTTACCGAGCATTGTCCCTTCCTGTTTGGAGTCCCATAGCTCTGCCTCAGAATCCGAGCGTCCTCTCCCCGCCTGCTGCTCTGCAGTGACACCGTGAGACAGGACAGACCCAGTCAGCCTCTTTACACTGTTCACATCTGCTTGGTAAAACAGCACGAGTAGAAGAAGGTGAGTAAGCTCGGGGGCAGAATATCCAAATCCTCTCCTTATGAAGGATGGGGCACAATGGCCCACAAACACTCATTTCTTTAAAATGCACTTTAAAAAAATTGTAGTTAAAGACATATTACCCAAAATGTGCCCTCTCAGTCAGTCGGTGTGACCATTCTCAATCAGCCCCTGACTGGTACCGTTATCTCCAGAACTTCCTCTCCTTCCCAAACAGAAACCCTGTGGACATGGTTAACACCAGCTCCCCTTTCCCCGAGTCCCCAGCCTCTGCTGTCTATGAATCTGACCCCTTCAGGGTCCCCACAGGTACCTTTGTCCTGGGCCACCGCCAAACCTTACTTTCTTTTCTTTTTTCTTTCTTGCTTTTTTTTTGAGGCAGGGTCTCGCTATGTAGTTCAGGCGGATCTTGGACTCACTGTGTAACCCAGATTGCCCTTGAACTCACAGCAGTCTTCCTGCCTCAGACTCTTGAGTGCTAGGATTACAGGCGTGGGCCACCAAGCCCGACTCATTTGATTTTCATGCCTGAAGGAAAGCTTATTTATTTAAAAGGGAGACAGATCTGAAAACAGCAGTCTGCCTTTCTAACTGCTGCAGGGTGGGTGTGGCATTGGCTTCTTTGCTTCCTGGCCTGGCCCTTTCTCATGAAATGCTTGGAAAGATGTGGGTGGCTTTACTTTGTTAGGTTAATAACAGACCTTGTCTTATGTGGGACACATTGCATCTTTTAAAGACTTTCCGGGCCAGGGATTTAGCTCAGTGGTTCTGCGCCTGCCTCCCAAGTGCAAGGGCCCGAGTTTGATCCCCAGTACAAATAACTAACTAACTAAATAAATAAATAACTAAATAAATAAAATAAAGACTTTCCCATTTGAGCTGTGTGGAGGGGTTCTCCAGGCTGTGCCTCTCCAACCACCAGACCCCACCTCCCCCTGCAGCTCAGTTTTCCTCTAAGGGCTTGGAGGCTGCCAGGATTGAGCTCACCAAGGAAGCAAGGCCTCCTCCAGGAGTTCTGTGGTCATTTGCTGGACTCCCTCCCAGCCCCACACTTGGCCTTCGTGGTCCCTGCCCAGGATTTCCCTTGGGGTCGCTTGCTCCTCACCAGTAAGATGAAGGAAGGGCAGGGCATCCCGCCCCAGCAGCCTGTGTGCTTTGGGGGTGTTCATACCCCTCAGCCCCCTGGTTCTGGGTAGCTAATGCTTCCTGAGCCTCTCTGAGTGCCCTGGGAGTGGGCAGCGCGGCACAGGAGAGGAGGAAGATGCTGTCCCCTGCCACAGAGGGGATTCCAACTCCAGGGGAGGCAGAACACTTGGCTTCAGAGGTGGCCAGAACCGAGCCTGGAGCCAGAGCCAGGGTGGAGATGCAGACGAACTCCAGGGATGTGGTGTGGGTGGGTGCAGCTGCCCAGTGGGGCCAAGGATCCAGTTGGGTGGCAGAGCACTTAGTTAAGGTTGGCATTGAGAGAGCAGTGAGTAGGAGGCAGCCTTCTGTGGGACAGGCGCACCCTGACACCCAGCGGTGGGCTGGCACACACCCCGTTTCCAGATGAGGTGGCTGAGGCACAGCCAGATGCAGGAATCTGCCCTCCAGTGCGGGAAGGAGCAGCTCAGGCCCGGCTGGCCCAAGAAGTTTTCTGTTCTGCTTATGTGGAGCAGCTGCGGGCCCTTTCCGAGGTGCATTCTCCTCTGGGCCAGCGCCCCTTGCATGCCCCTGGGCAAATAGCTAGATGTGAGCTTAGGTGGGGAAGCCCTAGGGCTGTGTAGTGCCATGCAGATAGGATGCCCCACAGTCTGCTGTGTGTAGAAAGCTCAAAAATGTCCCTGTTCCTTTGCCCTCCCCGCTCTGGCCTAAGTAAATAATTGTGACCTTAGGAATAAAGGTTTAAATTACAGTGTTCTATCCAGAGCTGTTTGTTCCTTCCTGATAGGGAAACACTGAGAGTGACCTATATCCCTAGGCGTGGTAGATGGGGTAGGAGATGGCGCCTTTCTCGATCCTGTGCCCAGCACAGGACAGCAGGGTGAATTTCAGGGCTGGGGGGTGGGGACTGGGGAGTGAGCGAGTGAGCCAGGGCCACCTCTGCAGGGCCTGTCAAGGGCCTGGTGTAGAAGGAGGACATTGGCTCCCCTCCTCACCACTCTGTCGCCTCCCAGTCCGGCCTGGCTGTCCTCCCTGCTGTGCTCTTCCTGGTCTCTGAGGGCTGTGCCCAGCTGATGGGGACTCTCATGCCCAGGAGAGGTGAGCTGTGGCTCTCCCTCCCCAGGCCCCAGGCAGCCCTGTACTGCTCGGAGCACGTGAGCTGCATTCTGGACGGTCCAGATCTCATGCTGCTGGAACAGCTGCTCTCCCTGCTTGAGAGCAAGCTTCAGAGTGCGCCAGGCTCTCCCGGTAGGAATCTTTTCCAAACATCTTCAGCCTTTTCTGCCGCTCCAGTCCCACAGTTCCAGCCCTGTGCATTCTGTCCTTACCTTCCTTTGCCTTTCTCTGTCTGAGGGAGATTGGGGACTTCAGTTCCACTGGGGCGGTGGTTCCCCTTTCTCAAGGGGTGACAGCTAGTCAGCCCCTGTTGATCCTTGGCCACAGTATCAAGGCACCGTCTCCAGCGACTTTACTGTGTGTTTGGAATTTTATAAATGTCACACACCCTCTCAGCAGCTCTGTGGAGGTCCAGCAAGCCCCATTTTACCTCCAAAGAAGCTGTGAGTGGCTCAGAGGGAAGAGGTGGCCTGGAAGACAACTCACAGAGCCAAGGGGCTGAGGTGGCTGTGGAGGCCGAGCTGAGTCCCTCTGGCTCCAAAGCTGATGGACATTTTCTTCGCTCTGTGGTTGCTGCAGCTGGGTTTTATGCAAAGGTGAAAAGGGAAAACAGAGGGCCCAGCCGCACCCACAGGACCCTGAGGCTGGGAAGGGCAAAGCTGAGCACAGGATTTTAGGGAATGGTGGAAGTGAAGCCCCCCACCCCCCATGGTGGGACAGGTGGGCAGAGCTAAGGAGGAATTTGGTGAAGAGGTGAGGCTCAGGCTGCAGCAGGCATCCTGTGTGCTAGGGTGAAGTGACCCCGGGGGACAGCAGCTCTGAAGCCAGGCCACTAGGCCCGGGCACATCACCATCAGCTGGGGTCTAAACCACACAGATAACTTCCTGGGTTTTGTGAATGCTTTTAAAACAAAAACAAAACCCAAAGTGGAGCAAGAATAAATATATGAATGGGTGAATGGGGGCCTTTTGGGGTATCCCGTGATGGTGACTATTTTCATGCTTTGGTGCTGGGAGGCCCGGGACTCTGGATGATCTGACCTGAGCATCCTGGAAAGACTTCCCTGTCTCCGAGCAGCACCACTGGGGACTAAGGGCAGAGCGGCCAGGTCGAAGCAGACCTGAAGGAGCCTGAGTTTCACCAGCCTGGGGTGAGGCCAGGAGCCTGTCTGGACTGCGAGCTTGGGCTTGTGGTTCAGTCTGGCGCTGAGGGCTTAGGGCGGCTGCTTGGCCAGGTGGCCAGTACTTCTGAGGCCAGAGCCGTCTGCCTGGCCAGCTGCATCCTCAGAGACCTCTTAGGGCCTGTGGCGACAAGGCAGGGACACCACCAGCCTCGGTCCCATTCTGTACATAACTGGACCAAGGCCCTGCCACAAACTGCTGCTGCAAGATTAAGAGAAAAAACTTGGATGCTGGTCTAGAGATGTGGATCTCTCCTGCCGGCCTATCTTAGCTCCGTGTCTTCTGAGACCCTCTTTTGGTCTCGTGTGGAAGGAGCCAGGCTTGTTGTGCCCAGCCATGCCTCTATCAGCAGAATGCACTTTGCTGCCTCCTGGGACATGAAAGCAGGGACCACATCTGTGTCTCCAGGGTATGCCAGGACCAGATGTGCCTGAATCTCAGGTGCTGAGCTGCACCTGTCAGAGCTGGGCTCAAGTCTTTCCGGGAAGTATGTGCATCTGAGATGCTCTTAGTACTCGTTTGTAGAGTAACTAAAGGACTGTGCTCTTGTGCCCACTGCCCCTACCAGACCCAATCTTCTGTGCCAGTCTGCTGTGCAAGCAGGTGTCCAAGTGGTGCACCTGGCGGGTGGGGGTCCACGGAGGGTGTGTGAGAGCCACACTTCTGCTCGTTCTCTTTCCTGCACAGTGGATGCCGACGTCCCCATGGAGGCCTGCTGTGCAGATGGACACCGGATGGCCACTCAGCACAGGGACTGCTCACTGCTGTATGCTTCAGAATCCAAGGAATGCAGGTATGTTTGCCCCTGGCCGGCGTTGGACCTGAGCAGTGTTCCTTCAGGGAAAAGAGGGAGAGGAGGGATGAACAGTGGACATAGGGTCCTGGGGAGGCGGGGTGCACCCCTCCCTCCACCTGCTGCTCCTTCCTCTCTGCTGACGCAGGGCTCCACTTGCTACAGGCCACCCTGGGCTTGTTGTGACATCTGTTCTCTTTGTTGGGCTGGAAGCAAGATCTGGTTTTGTAGCCCAGCTGCCACAGCCGGGCCAGATTCCTCTGGAGAAAGAGGGTTTGTTGTGGAGATTGGGCGGTGGCATCATGTGACTACAGGTGCCTTTCAGACAGATGTGTGGTCCCCACTCCACTCCCCCCAGAGAGCCTGGACATTAGATGACCCAGGCCGGTGCTGTGCCGCTGAGCTAAATCCCCAGCTCAGTTGTTCAACCTTTATGATAACCTCCACTTGGATCAACTCCTTGCCTCCTTCGCTCCCTAAATTCACCCGAGCACCTTCACCACTTGGGACAGTATAAACAGTACAGGAAGAAAAGGGATAATGCTGACCATCACGCTGAGAAAAGTAGCTGCCTGTACGGAGCACCCGCTGTGCGGTGTGTGTTTGACCTGCGCTGTCTCATTTCACCTTGTGATCAATCCCATTTTATAGACAAGGAGCTGGGGCTTTGCCGTGTGTGTGGCTGGTAAGCAGTAGCTTTAGGCTTTGAATCCATGAGTTGGCTGTTAGGAGGTGTGCTGCTGTAAACATGGGTGTGCAGGTGTCACTGTGACGTGACGACGAACTCTTCCGGGAAGGTACCTGGGAGGGGAAGAGCTAGCTGTGTCTGATGGAGTTTCTAGTTTTCGGTTTTTGAGGAACCTCCATACTGATTTCCATAGTGCTGTACTAGTTTACGCTCCCACCACATCGTAGAGCAGTTCCCACCCCGACTCTGCCCCCAGTCTTGTCGGCAGCAGCCTCCAGGCCCACCGACGGACGGATGGATAAAGAAAACGTATTTACACGCCGTGGAGTACTACTGTGCCGTGAATAAGATAAGCTTGAGTCATGTGGAGAGAAGGGATGCACCTTGAGACCATGACGTTGAGTGAAATCAGACACACGAGCGTAAATTTCTGATAATTTTTCTAATATGAGAAAGACAGAAAACAGGAAACAGAAAAGCATCTTTTGCAAAAGAGAAGGGGACCAAGAGGTGGAGCGAGGGACAGTGAAAGAAGGGGAAGGGCATGAAAAAGAAGAGCAAAGGCACGTCGTGCACCCGCACCAGCTCCCCGAGGTGATTGTGCTCATTACGCACTGCAGACAGACTGATAAAGTAAAAGAGGGCGCCGCTGAGAGGCGGGGTGGGAGAGCGTCCAGCCTTCTGCGTCCGTTTGTTCGTTCTGTCCCACGTCGGTTCTCTCTGACCCTTCGCCCTGCAGGATGCGGGGTGGTGGGAGAGCTGTGGCAGGGAGAAGGTGGGGAGGTTGCTTCTGCTCCCTCCGCGGGAGGCCCGTCTTCGTGTTGGCCTCAGGTTCCTCGGCTGCCTGCTAGTGGTGATGGGCGATGTCAGTCTCGAAGAAACTCTTGAAGGGCCGAAAGTGTTAGCAGCCAAATAAAGGGAGAGAAAGCAGCAAACTGACTGCTTGCGTGCGATGGAGGGCCAGGCGGGCGGGGCCGGGGAGCGAGAGCCGTGCTGCTGGCGTGCGGTGCAGCCTAGCGCTGCAGACGTCGGAGAGGCAGCTGCGATTCCGTGTCGAATCTGGGCATTCGGTGCTGGCCACACTCAGCCTTGAGCCCTGAGCCAGCGCGGACCCGCGGTTCCTCCAAACCTCCCTTTTCGGAGTTCAAGTGTTTACAGGAAACCTGCAGCGGCAGTGTAGGTGCCCTGAGGTGGGACAGCCATGATAAGGCCCCAGACCAGGCGGCTCAAAGAACAGATTGATTTCCATCCAGTTGTGGAGGCCGGAAGTCCAAGATCAAGGTGTTTGTGGGACGGGTCCCTCCTGAGGCCTCTCTCCGAGGCTCCCTCTGTGTGTGGCTGTGTCCTCTTCCCCTCCTCTTGTCAGGATTAGGGCCCAGCCTAGCTCCTCGTTTTACATTAAGGACCTCTTTGAAGCTTCTCAGTACAGGCAGGTTAGGACCTCAGCAGATGAGCTCCGGGCTGCCATGGTGATTACAGCTTATTGAAATCTGACTTTGAAAGTGTGGCCTCAGTCCGCTGAGCCCCTCAGTGTGCAGAGAGCCTGGGCCCAAAGACCCGGCACCCTGAATGCTGGCTGTGAATCTGCATTTTAGTCCTGCTGACTTTACTCAGCAATGTCTGGTAGGTTTTGGAGCTACCTTTGCTCCTCCGTGAGTCCCATGAATTACTCTCACATCTGTGTCAGCAGCGGTAAATTTTAGATGCTTCGCAAGTATGAGAAGTACTCTCTGAGTGGCCGAGTGAGGCTGCCTCTCTCTGCCAGAAGTGGGGCTGCACATCTAGGCTCCACGGTGCCCGCTCCCAGCTCATTTCTAGTGGCGCTCACGCTGTCCTGCACAGCCTGGAGAAGTCCTGGCTGGATATTGTGGGTTTCCATATCACCACGTCCCCAGAACGTGTCACTGAGTGCCGTGACACCCACTCTCGGGTCAGCAGCTTCAGTGCCCAGCCTTTTGTTTCACTGAGCCTCAGTTCATGTGTTCCAGGAGAGAGACAGCACGTTTCCGAGGCCTCTTAGCAAGTTAGCCACTGGGGGTCAGCAGCTCTGACTGGACACTGCCCTGCTGCCAAAGTGCTGTTCCCGCACCCCGCTGAACCCCATGCAGTGTGCAGAGGTCAGACTCCAGAAGAGATGGTGCTGGTAGAATTCAACAGGCAGGCCTGGGGCAGTGCTCTGGGGACCCCCTCCCCAGCCCCACGGAAGTCTGTGAGGGCCCAAGCTGTGATGGAAGCACAGGGGTGCCCCGTGTAGGAATTTCCCCTAAGACCTAGGGTTACCGTTTTCCTACTACACAGGGCAGGGAAGGGAGAGAGGGGGCCAGACCTCGACTCTTGACTCATGAGGCTCAGCTCTTTGGAGTATTTAAGAGAGGCAGGAGATGGGCATCAATGACCTCTTGGTTCATCGGTTATTTTTGCTTCGTTTTTCTTGTCAAGGCATTCTGTGAAGCTCGCCCGTTTTAAATTCTCAGCTTGCACTCATTCACCTAATCTTTCATTTTGAGCGCAGGACCGGAAGTGATGAGCTAACAGAGTGGGTGAGCTCTGTCCCAAGTGTTCCGCGCAGGAGCTGATGGTGGGAGGCACCCAGGGGGTCTGCAGGGCCCCTGACAGGTTGGCTTGCCCGGTGGCTGAGGGGCTCGGTGAACACCGTGGGGAGAAGCTGGCCCAGCCACCTGCAGCTGCAACAGTGACCCCTGGGGTGGCCAGGGCAGGTGCCTCTGCTGTCCCCTGGTTCTGCTCCACCTTGCCCTCTGGGCCCTGACCCAAGCCCCACATTCCTTAGGATCCAAGTCCACATTTGCTTACAACCGTGGATTAGACTGAACCTTTGAGCTTCATCCTCTTCTAGAGAAATTGGAAACCTGTGCAGCCGAAACCTACCACTGTCAGCGCTGACATTTTCAAATAGCCCTCAGAGCCCATTCCTATATTTATGTGTTCAGCTTTGTGGAGGGCAAGGTTCTGGATGGGCGGAGGCAAATCAGGGTACAAACTAGAACCCCTGTCCTGGCCTGAATGAGCTTACATCCCACGGGGGCAGTGGTAAATGTCACAGTTCCTACGAAGGCAGAGTGTGCTGGGGTGGCAAGTGCACTCTTGGTTTGGGCTGAGTTGGAGGTTATAGCTCTTGGAGACAGGACAGTTTCTGTGGAAAGGGACACCTGGGCCATGCCTGAAGGAGGCAGGAGGTTGTGAAGGTTGACAGGGGCCAGGGTGGCCAGATGGAGCGAGTCGGGTGGGGCTGAGCCAGGCAGGATGACACAAGGGAGAGGGAAACCAGGCTGGCCGTGGGGGATGCAGGGCCAAGCATCCTGGACTGAGTGACCACTTCAGAGGCTGGATCGGAGTGGACGGAGCTGGGCCACAGTGTGTCTGTCCAAACCTGTCTTTAAAAGGTACCTGTGTGGCAGGTGAAGGAGGGAGGGGGCGGCCCAGGGATGATTGCCTGTTCCCACAATCTGGGGGGGGACGCCTGTGGTTTGGAGGCAGGTGGGTGCCCAGGAGGTGGTGAAAAGAGGTTGGTCGTGGCAGTGACCTGGAGGCTGGGTGTCAGGTATCACTCTGGAGAGTGCAGGGGGATTCAGAGGTGGCGTCAGGTGGCAGCTGGGCAGTGGTCTGTCTGGATAAGAAGGGGTGCTGCGGAGAGCAGGCTGGGGTGCTGGGAGGAGCAGAGCAGGTTTGGGGCACTGGTGCTGATGGCTGGGCCCGGTCAGGAGTGCGGGGACTGCCAGGCTATGGGCTGGAGGGACAGCGAGGTGGCATGTAAAGCTCAGAGGTGAGGTGAGACCATAGGGCTGCGGCCAGCACCCTGGGGTCCTGCCCCACGTGGTCTCTCCTGCTAGCCGTCGGCCTCACTGGGACAGAAGTGTTCCCCCACCCCCACTGCTTCAGGAATCCATCAGGGTGGGTTTGGGAAGAGGGACAGAGGCAGAGTGGCCAGAATGACCAGCTTCCCCTCTCTTCCCTAGAATGGCCGCTGGAGAAGGCTTGTGTTTTGGTTTTCAGACTGGGTTTCCTGGTGACTTTTGTGCTTCCCAGGACCCAGCAGGGGAGGCTGCAGCTCTGCTGTCCCATGTGCCCTCGGAGGTTCAGAGCCAGAAAGGAGTTAGAGCTCCCTTTTGGCCATCGTTATACATGACAGTATGTCCTGACTTTGACGCATCCGTCGCCAAGTTGCTAACACTTCCGGGTCAGCTGTACGAAGGCAAGGGTCAGCTGCTGGGGGAGGGGAGACCCAGCTGCAGGAGGGGCACAGCCTGGATGCTGTGAGGGTGGCTTAACCTCCAGGGCGCTGCTGCACCTGTGGGCTTGGGGACCATTGCAACAACTGGACAGTGCAGGGGTGGCGTTGCCTGCCTGGTGCTTGGCCCAGTTGGCCAGGCAGGGAGGGGAAAGCAGGGACCTAGGGACAGTTCTCCAGATGTTCAGTGCTGCCCCTTCCTGTCCAGGGCAAAGTTTAGTACGTGGTGCCCCACAAAGAGAGGGTACTAGTCTCCCATCCTATCTCCAGAACTCGCAAACCTAAGCAGCACACAGTAAGGCCACAGCTGATGCTTAAAATTATGGTAAAAAGTGAGGCCCGGTGGTGGCACTCTTGTAATCCCAGCACTTGGGAGGCTGAGGCATGATCACTGTGTGGCTGGCCTGGGCTACATCATGAGATCCTATCTCGAAAACCAAAAAAAGGATAAAACATGTGATACAAAGTTCACCATCTTAACCATTTTTGAACATATATTTCAGCGGCATTAAGCCCACTCGCATTGTCGTGGAGCCATCACCACCATCCATCTGTAGAGCTCTTTGATCTTGCAAGATGGAAATTCTAACCCTTAGACAGGAAGATCCCCCAAGTCCCCTGCCTCTCCAGCCCCTGACAGCCCCGTTCAACTTCCTGTCTCTGAATTGGATGGGTCTAGGGACCTCCTATGGGTGAACTCACACGGGATGTGCCCTTTTGAGACTGGCTTCTATCACTCAGCATCAGGTCCTGAAGGTTCGCCCAGGTTATAGCATGGGTCAGGATTTGTTTTTTCCTTTTAAAGCTAAATAGTCCTCTGGCTGGACCACCTTTGTTTATCTCTTCCTCCATCAGTAGACACTTGGGTGGCTGCCACCCTCTGGCTATTGTGAATAATGCCGCTGTCAGCATGGGCAGGCAAACCTCTCTTCGAGGACCTGTTGAGTTCTCTTGGGTGTGTACCTGATAGCAGGATTGCTGGGTCCTGTTGAAACTCTATTTTTAAGTCTTTGAGAAATTCTGTGTGGTTTTCCATAGCAGCTGTGCCATTCTACATTTCTGCCAGCAATGCACGAGGCTTCCGGTTTCGCCACGCCCTTGCCAATGTTTCCTGCTTTCTGTTTGGCAGATAGTTTTTGAACCAATGCATGCATATATGGTAAGGAGGCAGGAACATCTTTCCGACAGTTTCGTGAAATGCAAATCTGCCATAAGCATGAATGAAATGTGTAATAGCACAGGACAGACAGATGCATCCTGGACCCGAGGAGAGTTCTGCAGACACAGAGAGCCTGGGCCTGACTTCTGGTTTCCATAGCATGGGGGCAGGGTGCTGCTGTCCCCGCCAGAGGTGGCCTGGCCGGCAGCACGGGGAGGCTGGGTGGACCCTGTCCTCCCTCGCAGGTGGCGCAGGTAGGGTGGCTCCTCCTTCTGCTGGCTTTGGCCTGGAGCTGGGGCTAATTTGGGTGGGGATTGAGCTGCCTGGGACAACACACCTCCTGCTGCAGGGCCTGCTCTCTGGTCCCTGCGCTGTCAGGCTCATGGCTGTGTCTGAGGAAGCCACTCTGCCAGGGCTGGTGCCCCTTCTCCACTGAGCTCTCAGTGTCTGCAGGAGACGTGGGGAGTGGCCAGACCCCCCCTCCCCCGCCATCTCCCAGCTCCCAGACAAGGACACTGTGTCACGGAGTGTTCAAGGCTGCTTCCTCTGAGCCCAGAAAGCAGAGGTAAGCAATGAAAATTTGGTGCCAGATAAAGATAAACTGGTGTGGGCAGTCTCGGGGCCCGGTTGGATTTTGGTTCATAAACAGGTAAGGGAGAGCTCAGGGCCCTCAGTCTCCTTGTTGCTCTGCACTCAGCCCCAGAGGACAGAGCCCCACGGAGGGCGCCTGCTCCTGAGCCCGGGGTGCTGGCCCCTGCCCAGCCCTGCCCGCCCCCCTCTGCCCACAGGATGACCCACGAGCAGTGCTGCCACAGCCAGCTGGAGGAGCTGCACTGCACCACTGGCATCAACCTGGCCAATGAGCAGGACGGCTGCGCCATGCCCCACAGCAACAGCACCAGCCTTGAGGCCCTGTTTGTGAAGGTGAGGACTGGGCCTCTGCCCTCCTGCACTGCCCGCCCCTAGTCAGCATCAGACAGCTGGGCCAGGTAGGACGAGGAGTCACTCAGTGTCCCCTTGTCCTTTAGTGCAGCAGGTAAAGCTTGGTAACCATCGCCTTCTGGGCAGGGCCGGTACTCTGCCTGGCACACAGCTGTGTCTTTGTCCCCAGACGAGGGAAGGGAGGCAGGGGAGAGGCCAGGGACTTTCTAGAGGGCTCTTTCTGCCGCAGAGTGGGTAGATTAGCCCAGGAAGCCCCGCAGCCTGCCCAGATGCCTAAACCAAGCCACACCTCCTGGTACCACTGTGGGCTTTCTGGAAACGTCTGGAAAGCACTGCAGTGAGGCTTCACAGGAGTCAGGGAAATGTTCATCCCAGGGCTCAGGGGTGAGCACTCAGGCGTGACTTTTGGGAACTGAGGTCCAGGCGATAAGGAGTGACCCTGTTTTTTGTCCAGCCTGATGCCTTGAGGTCCAAGGGGGCCTGAATCTCCAAACTTGAGAGGAGAGACGTGTGTGTGTCCATTCCTCCGGACATACTGGAGAGGAAAAGACCCGTTGGGACTTGTGGGTCACCCTGCTTCCTGGACTGGGTGAGGGGAGGGGGTGGCTGGGCAGGGCAAGGATTTAGGGGAGCAGCCCTCCATTGGGGTGGGGACGAGAGGTGTAACTCAGGCTGGGTGCCAGGCCCTGGGGATTCCTTGCCAGGCCCAGGCCGAGAAGACTTGGGGAGCTCTGTGTGCCGTGCTGTTTGCTGCTGACGTTTAGCCAAAGTATCTAAGTGCCCACGCAGACACTGACCCGCTATCCAGGGCCCACAGACAAGAGAGTGGCAGACAGGCTGTGAGGTCCACTCAGCCCCCAGGGCACCCAACCTGATTCTGCCCCATCCACAGAGGTGCTGCCACTGCTGCCTGCTGGGCCGTGCGGCCCAGGCCCAGGCCCAGGCCCAGGCCCAGAGCTGCGAGCCCAGCCTCATGCTTGGCTACCAGTGCGGGCTGGTGTTCCGTGCCTGCTGCGTCCGGGGCCAGGAGAGCGCAGACTTCATCCCCGGGGACATCAGAGACCCCCAGGAAAACGGTAACTCCAACCTTCCTGTCGGGCAGTGTCTTAGTCAGGCTTCTCAGGATGTGTGTCTGTCTGTCTGTGCGTGTGTGTGTGTGTGTGTGTGTGTGTGTGTGTGTGTGCGCGCGCTCACATGGCTGGCTCTCCCTAACCACAGTTGTCACACCCATGGGTTTGAGCACCCATGCATTGAAAATGTTGGGGAAAGACTGCATCCGTGCTGGACGTATGCAGACATTTCCCTTGGCCATTGTCCCCTAACCAGCGCGCTGTGCCACCTGTTCGCCCTGGATTTACATTGTATTAGGTAGTGAGAGTGATGTAGGGTGATTGAAAACAGGAGAAGCTGCACAGAGGCTGCAAGTGCTGGACTTTGGTACAGGCGTCTTGGGCGGCCATGGGCTTTGGTGTCCTCGGGGATTCTGGAACTATCCCCCATGGGGAGAGGGACGGCTGTGTAGGGAGTTTTAATAATTTTGCCTCACTTGCTCTGTAGGTGGGCTGCAGGCTGGAGACCTAGGGAGGAGCTGATGTGGCAGCTGTGGGGTCTGGGAACCCCCTCTTCCTTAGGGGAGGTCAGGGTTTGGGGGCCTTCCGGGGACAGGGTGAGGCCCACCCACGTGATGGAAGGCCACCTGCTTCACTCTTTGTCCATTGACTTGAATATTAATTTCTCCTCTGAAAGAAATACCATCGCAGCCATGTCCCAGTGAGTGTCTGGGCAGACACCTGGGTACCGTGGCGCAGCCAGGTTGACACATGAAATCAGCCACCCTGGGCCATCACCGTTGCCCCAAGTCGGCCTGGGCCATGAGAGCAGGTGTCCTGGAGTGAGCCCGTGCACGTGGGATCTGGGATCAGACACTGCTCGCATCCTGGTCCTCACCTGTACCTTGGGCCTCAGTTTCCCCATCTGTAAGACGGGGCTCTTCGCGGCCCTACCTCATGAGGTTATGGACAGGACCCTGAGGAGACCAGGGACAGAGTCACCAGTGTGGCGGTGGGCTCCTTCCTTCCCACCGTCTGTCCCTGCAGCGGCCCTGGCAGTGTGGGTGACTGTCCTCGCTCTGCTCTCGGGTGAGGACCACATGTGACCTTCTGAGGCCAGGGGCGCATTGCTCTGGTGTAGCAGTAACTTCCTCCCTGGAAAGATGCAGGAGGCTGCCCCACCCCCACATACTGGCTTGAGGCTTTGGGCCCCTCCCCTCCCCCTCTGACTTTGCCCCCTTGCTGTTAAGAAGAGGGAAGGTGGCCGGTGGCGGTGGACCACACCTGTGATCCCAGCACTCAGGAAGCTGAGGCAGGAGGATTGCCATGAGTATGAGGCTGGCCTGGACTATGTACTATAAATAAAAAACAAAGGTGGAAGTTACAGGCTGGGGTTGACAGCACCAACGGATTCATGGTCTCTTAAGTTAGGCCATCCATCGCTATGGCTTTGGGGCCCTGGGTCAGATGGACCAGTCCTTGACTTCTGACTTTGATTTTTTTTTTTTTTCTGAGACAGGGTCTTGCTTTGTAGTTCAGGCTGGCCCTGAACTCACTATGTAGCCCAGGCTAGCCTTGAACTCACGGCGATCCTCCTGCCTCAGCCTCCTGAGTGCTGGGATTACAGGCATGCGCCACCAAACCTGGCCCTCTGACTTTGATTTTGAAAGTCCCGGGGCCACTTGGGAAAGCACCATTGAGTTGGTTTGAAATGTCAGAATCGTGAAGAGGGTTGGGACCACATTCCCTCTGTCTTCTTGGCTTTTGAAGTGGGAGATGACATTTAGACTGGAAAGAAACTCAAAGCACCACCCTCGTGGGACGGTGATGGTTTCTCCTGTGTCTGGGGGAGGATTTTCGGTGACTCGTGCCCTCTGGCACTAGCCATCTCCACGCTTTCTTACCCCTGGGATGATTTCTGCTTCATCCACCTGTGATCAGCCTGGATGCTGACTCACCTGCAGCCCCTCTTCCTCCACGGCCCCTCTGTGAGGGCTGCTCCCCCTCTCCCAGCCCCAGGCACCTCCCTCCCTCCCCTGCCATCTGTGGTGGTCTCCCGTATGCCACTGGGGCCACAGAGGCGTGCAGGCTGGTGTGGCCTGAGGCAGCGTGAGTGCAGAAGTGGACCAGGATGGGAGAGGGGCTGGGACCCCTCAGGAAGGCCTGCGGAGGTGCCCCGCCCTCTCCACACGCGTAGACTTTACCCTGGACCCTGCTGTCGGCTTGAGAGTCTGCTGTGCAGCGGGGCTTCGAAAGCATTTACTGAAATATTTTAGTAATTTGGACTCTGTCACCCTGCAGGCTTGAAGTTAATGATTACAGGCCATTGTGCCTGAAATAATGGAGCTTCAAGAGAGTCAGCTGCCTTTATGAGTACAATTCTATTTGAACAAGGAGAAAATGAATACTTGGCTGTTTTTAAAATTCACAGGCGGGCGTCCATTCATTCTTGCCTGATAAGAAGAGGGAATGCCGGGCTTCTCTGAAATCAGATGGGAACTGTGTTTGCGTAATCTTGCCCCGGCCTCTCTTTTCTCTTTAGCTAAGAGTACAATGGCTGAGGAGGAGCAAGAAGACCCCTACCTGAATGACCGCTGTCGAGGTGAGACCCTGGGGTCCCCCAGGAGCCATGTCCCAGCCTCCCACCCCTCTGCCTCCCATCGCTCTCTGGAGATGTGGCCTAGTGCCGAGTGCGGCTGTGTGTGTGTGTGTGTGTGTGTGTGTGTAGGAGGCTGAGGTGAGAACTCACCCCCTACAGCTATAGCCTAGGCCACCACGGTCACAGGCTCTGAGGAGCATGACCACCAGCTTCCTTGAGGCTGGGAGACCCCTGGGTGTATTTTGGTTAGGTTCCCTGGAAGCCCAGGCAGGGCACCCTCAAAACATCCATTCGTCTCCCAGGGAGACTTTGCAGACTTAAAGTAGGAGGTGCCTTGCAGGTTTGTGTGTCCTGTGCTGTGACTTTATTTCTCCTTTGTGAATGTCTGGCCTGTTGGACTGGCAGCTGCTCCCCAGCTTCACCTGCTGCTCACTCACCGTGTGGCCGGGCTGTTAATTAGAGAGCCAGCTGAGTCCCCGAATGATGTGGTCAGGAGGGAGGGACAGAGAGACCCAGAAAGCCTGGGCATTCTCTCTGGGGGGTATTGGGAGGGTCCTCCTGGGAGAGGGAGAGGGTCAGCTGCTCTGCGGCAGATGGGGAGGGATTGGCTAGGACAACAGAGCCATGGTCAGTGCAGAACCCTGCAGCCAGGGCTGGTGAGCAGCGGTGTGCAGCGTAGGAGCGGGTGGAGGAACTGAGGAAAAGGAGGAGGAGGAGCAGGCAGCGCCCTGCAGACCTTTTGTGCTCTGCGCCTCTCTCAGGCTGTCCTGCGGGGAGTTTAGGTTGCAGGGATAGAAAGAACCAAGGATCCTTGGAGAAACCAGGCCTGTGGAGGCTGCAGCCACAGTGGGACTGGGGCAGCGGTAGCCAGAACAGGACGGTGGGGCTGGCGTTAGAGTTATGCAGGGGAGGTGAGGCCTGCCCCACCCTGGGAAGCCGTCACCTCCCTTCCAGCTCCACTGTAGCCTCAGGTTTTCAGGGACCTGCAACGGAGCCCCCAGGGTCCCCAGAGCCAGAGCCGGGGGGTGTCCCGGGGTCAGCTTTCTCTGACCCCACCCCAACAGTCTGGGGGAACCAAAAGCCATCCAGTGCTCCATCCTGGCTCATAGGTGCTCTGATTCCAGGTGGCGGGCCCTGCAAGCAGCAGTGTCGTGATACGGGGGACGAGGTGGTCTGCTCGTGCTTTGTGGGCTATCAGCTGATGCCCGATGGTGTCTCTTGCGAAGGTAAAGGTTGCCGGGGAGGTGGCCACACTCGAAAGCCCACCTGGAGGTCTGAGTGGGGCTGTGCCAGGGGCATGAGTAGGGGGTGAGCAGCCCGAGCCAGGCTGTCCTCACTCACGCCCCGGAGTCCGCAGCACAGTGGACCCTGGGCAGGGAGAGAATTGCGGGTTTGCTTTGATGATGGGTCTCCTGACCCCACTCCAGGGCACGGTGCAATGTACATGTGGACAACTTGGTAGATGCAGGAAAGCAGTTCCAAGTGGCTTCTGGACCTTCCCTTCTGATAAAGTGTGAGGATCTGTTCTTGCTGGTCACCCCTGTGTCACCTTGATTTCCTAGACGTCAATGAGTGCATCACAGGCAGCCACAGTTGCCGGCTTGGAGAGACCTGCATCAATACCGTGGGCTCTTTCCGCTGCCAGCGTGAGAGCAGCTGCGGGACGGGCTATGAGCTCACAGAGGACAATGACTGCAAAGGTACAGCACGCGTGGCGTGTGCTCGACTGCAGGTGTGGGTGTAGTGCTGCCCCCGTGTGGCTGCCTGAGCCAGATCTGGGATCAGCCGAGATGTTCCTGCTTGCGGCGTCAAGTTCATGGTAACAGCACGTTTGGATTTAAAGGCTCGGTGCTTGGTCATTTAAAATCATGCCAGGGATGAAGTTCAGGTGCTCACATGTGCTCTCTACAAAAACAGATATAGAGCCCTCCAAGAAACACAATTGTTTTTGCACAACAGCTGCTTTCCTTCTGATCCCAAGCTTCTTTGAAGTTCAAAGCGTTATCCCCTTCCGTGGCATAAAAACTTAACATTTCTGGCTGCTGGCCTTTCTCCGCCAAGCCCTGGTTTTGGAGTTTGGCAGATGAGGCTCCGATGGGGAGCTTTTAGAATTTGCTGCACAGGGCTTCAAGCCTTTCAGAACAAAGCCACTTGTATAAAAAATCTTATGTTGAGTCATGAGGGTGACTGAAAACCAAGGCACACCTCCTGACATCCAGCTGCCTTTCAGCGAGTTCAGGCCACCCAACCCCTGCCCGCGGTTGGGGCCTGAGGACCCCAAAGCTCAGGAGCCAGCCAGCTAAGCAGATACATTTGGATGTCTGGCAGCTGTGAACTTCCAGGCCAGACAGCCCACTGTGTTCTCCCACCCTGATGTAAACCATTGCTAATACTTGGGATATTCTGCAGGCTTCAGAATGGAAATGGTTATAGAAATTACGTTTATTGTCACTAAGATAATGGCTTTCTGATCAAAATGAAACATCCACTTTGCCCCAATGAATAATATGAAATACATCTGCCAGGAAAATGCCTGAGTTATATATTACATAACAGAAAGCTTGCCTCGTAAGAGTCTCTCAGGAGGAAGGAAGGTAGCATTTTAAGTCTTCAGCAACTTGGGCATGGTTTAGCTGTGCCCTCTGTGGAGTAGTTTGGGTTTAGTCTGAGTACTGAGCATTTAAAAAAAAACAAAAAACCTGTCTTGTGATGTTAAAAGTATTGTGAGATGTTTCTGGCAGGACTCTTGCTAACAATCTCCTTTTTTTATGATGCACCAGATATTGACGAGTGTGAGAATGGTATTCATAACTGCCCCCCCGATTTTATCTGTCAGAATACTCTGGGATCCTTCCGTTGCAGACCCAAGCTGCACTGCAAGAGCGGCTTTATACAAGATGCTCTAGGCAGCTGTATTGGTAAGACATGATGCCGCCAGGGGGTCACCACAAGGGGGCGCCACCCATCTGTGGCCGTGCCTTGGCGTCTGAGGGGCTTCGGGTACCGTATAGAACACGGGCTAGCAAACATTTTCTGTAAAGGGGCAGGCAGCAAATATTTTAGGCATCACAGGCCGTATGGTCTCTGTCACAGTGACCTCTGCTGTTACAGCTCAAAGCCACAAACTATGCGCAGATGGGTTAGACCGTGATCCAATAAAACTTTATTTATAAAAACTGGTGGCAGGGCCAGCGATTTAGCTCAGTGGTTCCGCCGCCTGCCTCACAAGCACAAGGTCCCAAGTTTGATCCCTGGTACCAAAAACAAAACAAAAAACCAAAAAACAACCAAACAAAAAACTGGTGGCAGGGCCAGCGATTTAGCTCAGTGGTTCCGCCGCCTGCCTCACAAGCACAAGGTCCCAAGTTTGATCCCTGGTACCAAAAACAAAACAAAAAACCAAAAAACAACCAAACAAAAAACTGGTGGCAGGCTAAGTTTATCCTACAGGTAATAAGTAGTTTGCTGACCTCTGTTTTAGATGAAAGCGCTTGAGTTTTGCCTTCAGGGACATTCAGTTTTTAGAGTGGCCGGAGAACCTTGCCTTCTTCCCCTGAGCCTCAGTCTCCACGCCTCTAGAAGGGAATCACAGGGTGCCTGGCTCTCAGGCTTCAGGCAAGCATGAGCGAGTGCTTTGGAAGTGCCCGGGACATGGGAGGCTCTCAGTAAGTCCCCCCTCCCTGCCGCAGCCGTGGCGTCTGTTGAAACTTGTTTCACAAAAATGCTGGGTGTTAGCAGTTGGACTGAGAGAGACAGAAAGTGGAATGGTGTTTGCCCGCACCTGGGGGAAGGGAAATGTGTGTGGTGATGCAAAGTTTCTGAGTGGGAGAGGAAAAGTTTCTGGAGGCGGACGGTGGTGACAGTGGCCTCACAGTGTGATGTGCAAAATGCCGATAAACTGTGCACTTGACATTATGTAATTACATATTCACTTCACCACAATGAAAAGCACTCCATGGATATCAGAGAAAGGCCAGCGTGAAAGGAGAGAAAATCCTATGTGAACTTTTAAAACAGGAAGTTGGGTGAGACATGTGGATTTGGAGGAGTCCTGTCGGGCGGGACCCGCTGGCACCTCTGAAGTCTCCGTAGCTTGCTGCCCTGGGAGTGTGAGCACAGTCTTCTCCAACTCCTCACGCCAAACTCAGGATCTGTTCTTTTTGAAAGTTGTCTTTTTATTGCAAAAGACCCACACGTGTTCATTTATAAAGAAGCAAACAAAACCACAGCGTGGAAAAGAAGTGTTCTGCCCTGCCCAGTCCCACCCTCAGCCGGGCAGGTCTGTGCGCCCTCCTGGGCTCTCCCCCACCAGGGTTTTGTTTATTTTATGAAAACAGGAACAGGCTGTTCTGCCACTTGCTCATCTCCCCACTCGACAACGTATTGAGGGATCATTTTATGTCAGCACTTTTACTCGTCTTTAAAATAATAACTGCACCAGCAGAATGGTTCCCTGTAAAGAGAGAGCATGTTGGGATAGAGGGGCGCTGCAGGCTGCCTCTGGCCCTCAGCCTGGAACCATCCGCCCTGTGCAGCCTGTAGCAGAAGAGCCCATTGCACAGGAGCCCCAGGCAGTCAGGGTTTGGACAGCAGAGGCCCCTCATTCTCCGTTCATTGCGTCATGGAGCTCTCGGGCCAGGGGACCCCTGTCCGGCACACTCAGTGTCTCCAGGGACTCCACTGTTCCATGGAACAGTTTGGAAATGGCTGATCTGTGGGGAGCTCACAAAGCTCTCAAGGAAGCGATAATCACTTTATAAAGTGCTATATCAAGTCTCAATACCGGGCCAGGCCACTCAGCTCTTTCTGTAACGAGGTAGAGAATAAATATCAGATCTTCTGGCAGGTGTATTGCAAGAACAGCCGTAGACCATGCATAAAGGAGCGGACCTGGCAGTATGCCAATAAAACTTTATTTACAAAGGCAAGTGGAGGGCCGAGTTTGGTGACCCTTGATTTAAGGAACCGCCCACTGGCTGTGCTCTGTTACTCCAACTCCCCAGCATGATCCTGGGGAGTCCCTTAAGTCTCCCTGGGTTCTGGTTTTCTGGTATAGTGCAAACACTAACACTCACCTGGTGGAACCTAGCTGTGGTGGTCGGGGTGATGAAGGATGGGAGAGCTTTTATAAACTGTGAAGGGCTCCGCTGTTGGTGTTCCCTGGGGATAGTAGAGAGGCGGGCTGACTTGATTCTCTGTCTGGGAGGGTAGGGCTGGCAGGGACCAGCCCCTCTTTCTAACTTACGCTTGGGTCTCCTACTATGAGCCTCTTCTTGCCGCCCACCCCCCAAACCCATGCTTGGGAAGCATATGATCCAGGAGATCCTCAGAGGGGACTTTGCAAAGTGAAGGTGCTTTTAGAAGACCTGTGGGGTGGGGCTGGTCTGTGCCCTTTTGCATTGAATTTGAGCAGAAGGAGTGAACCCATGTGTCTGATGTAGGAAGATGCCCCCTGGTCCCCACACTGAGACATGGAGACCCCACCATGCAGGGAATTCAGGGAGCTGTGGGATCCCCTCCTGGCCTAAGTTGGCACAGGCTCCAGAGATGGATGGGGGACACGGGAGATGAGAAAGTGCCTCACGGATGTGACTCGGAGAGGCATAGCTGCCAGGCAGACAGGAACCCTGAGTAGCTGGCCCACGAGCTGCGACTGTGCCACTGGGGCTCAGAGGACTAGCTGGGGAGGCGGGGGCAGCAGAGCCTTGCTGAGGTCCACAGCGTGGGTGCAAAGGGGTCAGAGAGGGGCTCAGGGAAGGGTCATCCCTCGGCATGGGCCATGTTGGCACAGGAAGGCAGGTGAGCAGTTTTGCTTGGTGATTCAGAGACAGATGCACCGGGGGCTCAGGGGCAGGAGGGGGACCAGGGAGGGACATTTGAGGCTGTGTGTGCTGGTAGAACTTGCGGCCGACTGGGGTGATGGTGGGGCTGCTGCAGGTCCAGGGCCTATGGTTTTGTGGAGGAGGGAAGTGGTTTCTTTGTAGCTCTGGTTGTTGGATTCCTGGATGCCCCCCTGTTTAACCATGCCATCCCCATCTTTTCCCTCGCAGATATCAATGAGTGTTTAAGTATCAGTGCTCCGTGCCCTGTCGGGCAGACATGCATCAATACGGAGGGCTCCTACACATGCCAGAAGAACGTGCCCAACTGTGGCCGTGGCTATCATCTCAACGAGGAGGGAACTCGCTGTGTTGGTTGGTATCAAAAAGAGAAACCAGGGTTGGGGATTTAGCTCACTGGTTCTGCCGCCTGCCTTGCGAGCACGAGGTCCTGAGTTCGATCCCTGGTACAAAAAAAGAAAAAGGAAGGAAAACAATCCGAAATTGACATGCTCCTTTCTTTAGAGGGGGAGTTGAGCCCAAAGTGAAGCCATTTCTGCCTGTCCATCCCTTGTGGCTGCCCAGCACGGACCTTCAGCATCCTGCCTGGACTGTTGAAGTAGCATACCAGCCTGCCTCACATGCCCAGGCTTACAGCTCTTTGGCAGGTCCCCTCTTGTGACCCAAGACAGATGCTGACAGTCCAGTCCTATGGAGTGGCCCCAGCTTCACGAGTCTGTAAACCACATGGGACATTCCTCAAACTACATAGCCTTGCTGGATTGGTTTGGGTCTCAGTCCTCTGCTCATCTGCTCTGTGTTCCTTGGTACCTGGGACAGGTGGCAGCCCAGATCCCTGGCAGGGGGGTGCCTTCCTCCCCAGCACTGCCAGGACTCAGCCAGTGTTGTCCCCCACACCCCCGGGCATAAGGTCACTGCCAGCCGTCCGAGAGGTCCCCCTGGGGTGGGGCTGTGTCCCCCACACGGTGCTGGAGGACAGGGTGGGCGCTGCCGCTTCAGCCTCCCGCACCTGAGCTTGTTCCTTGGGAGGTGGGCTAAGGACCAGCCCTGGAGGCTCCTCAGTGCACTTTCTTTCTCCTTTCCAGACTTAGACGAATGTGCACCGCCCGCCGAGCCCTGCGGGCAAGGACACCGCTGCCTCAACACCCCTGGCAGCTTCCGCTGCGACTGCAAGGCTGGGTACTACTTCGATGGCATCAGCAGGACGTGTGTGGGTATGTGGTGGCTTTCAGGGCTTGGGGGACCTGGACTGACCATGGCCTGTCCTCCTCTCAGGAAGTCTCAAGGACAGGCAGGTGCTGTTACCCCACCGGGTGGCCGCCAGGCCCTCGTGTGCACCTGTTTCCCACCTGTGCAGTGGGTGCTCTGCCTGGCCGCAGACCTGAGTACCCATGAGACACGAGCCCAGGTCTCCAAATGGCTGATGTGTTACAGCCGGGCATGAGGGAGTGCATCTATAATCCCAGCTACTCAGGAGGCCGAGGCAGGAGAATCTCAGGTTTGAGGCCAGCCTGGGCAATTTAGTGAGTGTGACTCTGTCTCAAAATAAAATGAAAAATGCTGGGGCTATAGCTCGGTGGTAGAGTGTTTGGCTAGCATGTGTAAGGCTCTAGATTCAGTCCCCAGGAAAGCAAAAAAGTGTTAGCAATTTCCCAAAGTTGTGACTTCAGCGCCACAGGGCTGGCTGGAGCGGGGCAAGAGCCAGAAATGAGCAGGGCTGGGCTCAGACCCGGGCCAGCCTGCTGCACTGTCCCCCGCTGATGTCCCTGTGCCGGGTCTCAGCGGCCCCTCCTCGTGGGCACTGGGCAGAGAGGGCTGTCATAGGGTGCTTTACTGCGCCCTCTGTGTGTTTGGGACAGGTCCACTCTTCCTCTCGTCTGGGGGTGAAGCCAAGAAGATGCGGGTGGGGGGTGTGGCACCGCAGTACGGGTGGTGCCCTGAGCCTCGAGGCCCTCTGTTCCAGACATCAACGAATGCCAGCGCTACCCTGGGCGCCTGTGTGGCCACAAGTGTGAGAACACGCCGGGCTCGTACCACTGCAGCTGCTCTGCGGGCTTCCGGCTGTCCGTGGATGGCCGGTCGTGTGAAGGTGAGCGGGTGGGGGCAGGCGGGGGTCCGAGGAGACCCCTCCTCCGCGGGCCATGAGGGCTGGGTGGGGTTTGTTTCCCCACTCACATTACAGGGCTCGGCGGTGGGGCACTGGCCTGTCAAATGTGGCTCTCTAGGATCTGCCCTGCACACTGAGGCTACAGTGGTGACCTTGGGGAAAACCTTAGCTCCTTGGTGTCCTCACGGTGGGCGTGGCTTGATGTGTCAAAGAGAAACTAAAGCCTGCCCTTGTACGGGAGGCGTGACTGGGTTTGTTCAGGCCTGGTGGCCTCCGGGCTGAGCGTAACCTGGCGTCAAGTCCGCTGAGGCCCAAGGTGGGGGCTTGGCAAATGCTGGACACTGTGCCCCACCGAGGGCACAGTCATGGCCATTGGCGGCTCTGGCTTCTCACAGGTCCTTTTGGACTCTGGCACATCCCCTCCCAGAGACCGGGAGATGGGATCCTCATCTTCCTATGGTGACATTCCAAGGCGATGGCCCCCAAGTGCTTGAGAAAGATGCTCCTGGGCTATTAAAGGGACAGCAAGAGCTTTCTCAAGCCAGTGTCTTAAGAGGGCTAGGGTCCTCGCCTGGGGGTGCCACCTGGGACCAGTACTGGCCAGGTCCTCCTTGGTCTGGTCTCCTGGGATGTGAGCTTTTCTGTGTGCACCTGCTGTCTGGGAGCTGCAGAGCTGCAGGCCTGGTAGGTCGCAGGTGTCCCAAGTCTGTCACATCTTATGTGGGCACAGGGTGAGCGCTTTGGGTCAGCCTCACAACCCCCCGCACTGCCTGCCATGTCCTGTCCTATGCCATGTTGATACCATGCCCAGAGGGCAGTCTCAAAACACAGCGGTCTCTGATCTCTGGATTAAGAAGGTGCCTTGCCAATGAGCTGGCACGGGAGTGGGCCTCAGCTTACCCGGAGGGTGGAGGGGGTGATGGGGTCACAGGTCCCGGGCTGCCCTGGGGACTCCGAGGTGTGTTTCCAACAACCAGACCCAACAAATGTATTTAATAAGGAACGAGAGCCTCCCAGGTCTGGGTTCAAATCCCAGTTCGGCCATTCTTATGGACTTTTGTGAAGAAGCAACTCACATTTCTGGCAAATTAGAGAGCACTGGGGTTGATTATTATTCCAGTCCTGGTCCGTGCTTCCCCTGGTCACTCACAGACATTTGTACCTGCGGACACTGCCAGGGCCGCTGTCCCGTCACATCGCTCCAGTGAGTGCCCTGGGTATGTAGCAGTACTCCCTTCCCACGTCCGGAAGCCCATCTAGGATGGGACAGGAACCGCTCTGGGCATAGGTGATCCAGGGGCCAGGACAGCCGTGGGTGGGCGCCCCTGCGCTTGCCCTGCCAAGGAGCAGTTGTAAAGGAGAGAAGAGACTCTGGGTCAGGGAGTGGCAAACTTTCTCTCTGCGAGCTGCACAGGAACTGTTAGCCTTTCTGATGAGTCCCCACACTGCACACTGCTGTGGTAGGACAAAAGCAGCCAGAGGCCATGGCAAAAGAATGTGCATGGCTGTGTTCCAATAAAACTTTATTTGTAAAAAAAAAAGTGGCGCTCTCGGTGGTTGGTAGAGCTCCCTGGTTTCAATCTCCAAAAACAAACAAACCAATTCTGTAGCTGTTAAACAGTAACTTCTTATTTCCTCCTGTTAGCCCCACGCAAACCCCCATTCTATTTTCTGTGTCTAGGAGTTTGACAATTCCAGGTACCTCACGTAAGAGGAATTGCACGCACTGGTCCTTTTGTGACTGGTTTATTTCACTTAGTACACTCTCATCAGGTTTCTCTGTGGTATAGCATGTTTCATAACTTTATTAAAGCTAAATAATGTGTCTCAGGCCAAATAATGCCTCACGGGGTGTGTCCACCACATCCTGCACATCCCTTCTCCCAGCGGTACACACTGTAGGGATGTTTCCCCTTTTGGCTATCATGAGTAACGCTGCCGTGGACACTGGCGTTCATCGCTTCTGGCTCTTTTAGGTACCTGCCCCCAGGCGGAAGTGCCAGTAGTAGATCTGATTCATACATCGGTTGATCTGGCAGTAGAGCTATAATAAAAGAGTACATCTAACTTTATTGTTGTTGTTTTACTGTTATCACATGATACATACTTGGATTTGGATCAAAGCATTTGCACTGAGCTACATCCCCAGCTTCCCCCTACTCTGTAAGACAAGATCTTGCTAAATTTAGCTTGTGCTAAATTGCACAAGATGGGCTCAGAAGTTCAGTCCTCCTGCCTCAGCCTCCCAGAATGCTGGGATTATAGGCGTGCACCACCAGGTCTGGCTTTTTTTTTTTGTTTTTTTTAAATCAAAGAGCAACCCATCTCATTTCTATAGATCTGATATGGCAATCAGCTTTGATTAAACTTATTGGGAAACTGACATTCCTTCTTGCATCTCACATATGGGATTTTAAAAAAATCTTCTTGGTGCACATCCCTTAGACGTTTCTTCAGGAAAGAATCTGTTGGTGGTAAACTCAGTTTTCATTTATTTTCAAGTGTCTTTTTTTCTTGAAAAGCGTAACTGTATGGGCACATAATCTCACGCTTGCACATTATTCTCCAGGTATTGGTCATGCCGATGTGTTCTGAACATTGTAAGTGTTCTGAATCAGTCCAGTGCGTTCTGATGCCTCCTGAGGCTGTTGAGAAGAGCTGCCAGCTCGGTGCCCTTCCTTTGTAAATGAGCCAAGCTGTCCCTTAAAAGAAAAAGACAAGTGGTGGGCTGCATTTGGCCCATTGGGAACTGACCTCTGCTGTAGGCAGAGGGGAGCTGCTGCTCAGAGTTGCCAGGAACCTCCTGAGATCAGAGCATCAGTATTTTCCCATGGGCTGGGTCATGAGCTGTTACCTGCGTAGGATGACATCTAGAAAGCGAAGCTGGGAGGACAGAGCAGGATCAGATTACCACGGAGAAGTAGAATGGATGCTGGTGCCCTGTGGGGCTGGATCAGAGGGAGCTAAATAATAATGAGCTGGAGGCTTTACTGACGTCACCCTGTCCAGGGACGGAACGGTTTGTGGCAGGGACAGAGATTCCACAGTCACCAGCCATGAGGGTTGGAGTGGGCACCTCTCTCACTTGGGGGTCCCTGGCACATCTGCCCCTGCCCCTGTGTGCCTGGGAAGTGGGGGAGAGTTCCATTTGCTGTGCCTACTGCCATTAAAGTGCCGTGGAGCCGGGTGCTCCCCAGTCTGAGCAGGACCCCTGCCCTGTCTTTCAGATGTCAATGAGTGCCTTAGCAGCCCCTGCAGCCAGGAGTGCGCCAACGTCTACGGATCCTATCAGTGCTACTGCCGCCGTGGCTACCAGCTCAGTGACTTGGATGGTGTCACCTGTGAAGGTGAGAGTGCCCCCTGTTGCTGGGGGAGGCACGGGGCTGTGCCCTTGATGGGCCACTGTGGACTACATTTCAGAGTCTGCCGTGAACAGCCTCCAGGGTTCATTCCTCTGCCCCTCAGGTGGGCTGTTGCTTTGCCTCTGGCTAGGATTTACTTGAAGACACCTCGCTTGCACTGAGAGTGTCCTTTAGTACCGTGGTAGCCAGTAAAGCGACCAAGACCTTGAACCACAGGGCACAGGGCACATGGCACATGGCTGGGTGGTGAGGAAGGTCTCCGGCCACCACGTCCCTGGGTCCCTGCCCTGCCTCTGGCCTGTGCAGAGCTCTACCCTCACCGCCCAGTCTGAGTCGCCTGTCCCATGGGGCTGCCCCAGGCCGAGGGAGGGTTGAAGTGGACCCTGATTCAGTGGTACCTAGGTTCTTCGTTTTGTCTGTTTCTGCAGTGCTGGGCATGGAACCAGGGCCTCGCACATGCTAGACAAGTGCTCACCACTGAGCAGCACCCCAAAACCCTGTGGGTGCCTAAAGCACAACCGCTGTCAGGGTTGTTACTGTAGCATAAGCAGCCCTACTTTAAAACCTTACAGTTTGAAATGCTCCAAAACTTTTTGAGCATCAGTGTGACATGCCACAAGTGGGAAATTCCACACCTGACCTGCAGTCAAAACAGGTATCAGAAAACATTGCTCAAAAAAGTCAGGTACAAGGAAGGGGTGGGGTGTATATATAGCTCAGCAGTAGAGTGCTTGCCTAGCATGTGCAAGGCCCTGGGCTCAAGACCCAGCACCAGGAAAAAGAAAATTCCTACAGGGAACAAAGAACAGTCAATCACCAATGACACACACACTTGTCATCCCAGCACTCTGGGAGGCTGAGGCAGGAGGATGGAAAGTTCCAGCCCTGCCTGGACAACTTAGCCTCTTAGTGGTACTCTGCCTCAAAATAAAAAAATTTTTTTTTTTTTAAATGCTGGGGATATAGGTCAACGTGAAGGCCCTGGGTTCACTTCCCAGTACCAGGAAAAACAAAGCAAAGCAAAAACAACAACAACAAAACAAAACAAAGAGTGCAGGCATACTAAAAATACTGGCAAGAAGATGGCACACACCTTGGTCCCAGCGTTCGGGTTGCTGTGGGCCTGAAGTGCATGGTGAAGCCCTGTCTCAAAAACAAAACAATAAACAAACAAACAAACAGCCAAACATCTACACATCTCTTCCAGCTCTGTGTATGAGGTGAATATTAACACAAACTTTGTGGTTAGGCTTGAGTCCCATCCCCATCCCCAAGATATCTTGTTAGATACAGGCAAATATCCCCAAATGCAAAAAAAAGAGAAAAAAATCAGAATCACCCCTGGTCCCAAGTATCTTGGCTAAGGGTCACAGCCTGAGTCTCCCTGTGACAGGCGGCTTTTGATCGGTGACTCCTTCTGTCCTCCCTTCCTCTGCCCCTTGCGTATGTGAATTTGCTGTGTGACCTAGGCTAGTCCCATCCCCTCTCTGGACCTCAGTTTGCTCTTGTGGTCTCCGAGGCCACCACCCCCAGCACCCTGAGCCACCTCTCTGCCCACCTTGGCCCCCGGGGGACGTAGCTGCCTGGTACCCACGGCCACGGCCGTGGGCAGCGATGCTGAGGGTGGCTGTGCCGTTGCAGACATCGACGAGTGCGCTCTGCCCACCGGGGGCCACATCTGCTCCTACCGCTGCATCAACACCCCCGGAAGCTTCCAGTGCAGCTGCCCCTCTGCCGGCTACCGGCTAGCACCCAACGGCCGCAACTGCCAAGGTGAGCTGGGCAGAGCTCGGTCACCCTGGTGTGCTTGGGCTCTGCGATATAAGGGCTGTGGCCAGGCTGGGAGAAGTGGTGCGGGGCTGGGATTTGCTCCCGCGTGTGCTCTGTGATTGGGGCTGTGGGATCCACAGTGGAGCCCCCCTTTTGTAAGAACTGACCGGGGCCCTCCTTCGCCCCACTTGGTAACCGAGGGGGATGGGCTGTCTGTCTTGGGCCCCGTGGGTGTCCTATCTGCTCACGCAGAGAGCTGCAAATCCGAGTTAGCAGGGACTGGCCTGGGACTGGACGGCAACCCTTTGTTTTTCAGCTGGACTCCCTCACCGCAGCTGGGTGCCCTGCCCACAGGCAGCACAAACGTATTCCCGAGCCCAGGCCTTTGAGCCGGGAGTGGTGTTTTTGCCACAACCAGCAGGCATTTAGCTTCTCTGAGCAGACACCCCCAGGACTTGGTGACATCCCCAGCCCACCTTTGGGCTGCTCTGGAGTGAGCCATAAGCCCAGAGCAGGAGTCCCAGGCCTGGTCCCCCTTCAGCCCCAAGAGTCACCACCCCTGTGAAACGGGACAAGACACCACCCTAGAGGCAATAAAATGGGGCCGGAGTCCTGCCCTTTCTGCCTTTAAAATTTTTATTTCTATACGTCCATCAACAGATGAGTGGATAGAGAAAGCGTGTTACTTATACATAATGGAGCCCTGCTCCGCCACGGGGAAGGATGAATTTGAGTCATTTGTGGATAAACGGATGCACCTCGAGACCATGATGTTACGTGAAATAAGTCAGACTCACGAGCTTGACTGTCGCATGGATTCCCTTATATGAGAACCTTAGCGTATAAATAAAGAGCAAACGAAAAGATGGATTACAGGAAACGGGGACACAGATCTTTTGCAAGTAGGGAGAGGCTCCGCCCTTTGCCTCCTAGGGTGTAACACCTGACACGTGAGCCGCAGAGAGGTGCCGGGTGGTTAGCGTTCGGGCCTCGGCCCCGCCTGCCCGGGTGCAGAGTGAAGCTCTGCCACTTACAGACAGACAGGTGGCTGTGGCCGGGTGTCTTGGTCTCCGCGGCTCTGGTGGAGGGAGGACCGGGCACCAGCCCGTAGATGGGACGCCCACTGATGGGTTGATTGGTTGATTGGTGGATTGATGGCTCCGTACGTGCTCTCACTCTGTAATGATTATGCTCATTGGGAGGAGCTGGTGCCTACACCCATCCCGTCTTAATCCCTTTTATTTCCCCTTCCTCTCTCCGCCCACCCCTCTCTCTCCATCCCTAGACTCCCCAGCCACCTGCAGGCACCTCCTCTCCTTTCCTGTCAGGCGTCTTTCATTCTGCGTTTTACGTTATTACTTACACTCTGGGTTTCTCCTGCTGCGTTCTCACAGATATCGACGAGTGTGTGGCCGGCATCCACAACTGCTCTGGCAACGAGACCTGCTTCAACATCCAGGGTGGCTTCCGCTGCCTGGCCTTCGAGTGCCCCGAGAACTACCGCCGCTCCGGAGACACGTAAGTCCCTCCCTCGGCCGCCGCCGCCGGTCTTACCAGCCTCCCTGGTGCTCAGGGCCAGGGCAGGTGTTAAGTGAGCACCACCTCTGTTCCTTGCTCCTCGGTGTCCTTGAGGGTCACCTGGGCCTGGGTCTCGGGCCCCTGGAAGGGGGCTGCTGGTCCCCAGAGCCAAGGGAGTGGCTGCACGTGCAGCTGGGGCCAGTGCAGAGCTCCCAGGTCCCACTCGTGCCCTGTCGCGTCCTCCTGCGTACTTGAGCGAGCTTTCCAGGCCTCAGTTTCCTCACCTGTAGATACCAAACATGCTCTGACTCAGGTGAGTGGTGGTGACTGTGTTGGCTGGAAGCCAGGAGCCCGGTGACTCGGGACTTTGTTATTAGGCAGAGCCCCTCACTGCCCCGGCACTGCTGGAAAGCCGGAGTCCATCCCGCCCGAGTAACTGGGACGGCACAGCAGATCTTGTTACTAAACCCGGAACCATGGCCACATGCTGCTGTCGGCTCACTCTCTCCCTGGCCACCAGGTGTCCTCGACGTGCCCAGGACCTCCCTCCTGGGCTTGCCTTCCAGGTCAGCTGACCCAGACAGGTTCCTGGGCTTGGTGGAGCCCCCTGTTCTCAGCTATAAGATGGGGTGGTGACGTCCTCTTCCTTGCCCTCTTAGGGTCCCTGTGACTGTGGGCAGAGCCTCCTCCTGCTTGTTCTCCATAAAACTCACCCTGGGCTCAGACCCAGTGGGGTTGGTGGGCACCCTGAGACATACCACCCTGCCAGGATTGCTTGGTAGAGGGGTAGTGGGTCTTTGGCAGCCTCTGCTGGCCAGGTCTGAGAGGCTGTGTGGAAAGGAAGGGCCTGGGCTGCGATGTAGGGTGAGTGGGCTTCTGGTCCTGGCCCTTCCACGTGCTGGGCCTTGGGTCCATCTCTTCATCTGTAAGGTGGCACCGACCTTACCTGCATGGGCAGATGGTGAAGAGGAGAGGTGCCGGCCCACTGCTGCTTACAGCAGTGGTGGTGCAGATGAGGGCAGGGAGCCACCGACTTTCTCTCCTTGGGGCTCCCTGAGTTAGAAGACAGGGGTCCCTCGGAACAGCATTGCCAGCTTTGCCCTGCTGCCGGCCGGCGTGTGACTGGGGCTGCAGCTAAGGCTCACCTTCAGACCTGACAGTCAGAGGTGGCTCATGAAGGCTTGAAGTCATGGTGCTGTCCCTGGGTATAATTTTCTCCTTTGTTGACCCCTGGTGGGAAGGGTTGAGTTAGCCAGGCGCCATGGGAATTGGGCCTGGAACCTCCAATAGGGGGCCGCAGAGGGTTTTACCAGCCTGGTGGCCCTTTCCCAGTCGGGCACAGCTGGGACCACAGGAGCGACATGCATGTTGGAGGAGCTGTGGTCACGGTCGCCGATGAGGTAAAGCGAGCGTGCAGAAAGCAGACCAAGGGGCCAGCGTCCTCCTGGTGCCATGGACTCCTGGACCTGCTGGAGGTTCCTATTCACAGCCCCTGTTCCTCATTGAAGAGCCAGGCTCTCTCCAGGACTTGCGGTTTGACCTTTAGGAAGCTGTGTTTAAAACCTAGAAGAGTCAAGTGTTAGGTTAGTGTTCAGTGAGGGTGGCCCCTTCCAGGGCTTCCCAGGGGGAAGACGTGAAAGGTGCTGCCTGCCTCTCTGTGTCTTCCTGGCTCCCTCCCTCTCTGAGTGGCCCGCTTCTGCCCAGGTAGTGTCCCCAAGAGACAAAAGGTGCTAACGAGCGTGGGTGGGCGGACCAGGTGTCAAGCCGCAGGGTGAGGCTGGGTGCCCGGCTGGGAAGCTCCTGACAGCACAGCGCTGCCCTGCTACCCACGCTAGAAGTGTCCTGCAGTGGGACTGGGGACGTGGGACGTTCTCTTCGTCCCCTCCGTGGGGCCGACCCCGATGACACAGGGTCGTGAAAGCTGCCACCTCCCGTGGGAAAGGGGCATGAGTGACCGACTAGGAGCAGAGGGTAAAGCCCTCAATGGCTTCTCCCGGGATCCAGAATGAGGAGCACATGACAGTCAGGAAACTGCCCAGGAACCGTGCGAGCCTCAGACAGCCTGTGTGTCCGAGCCGCCTGTCCCCAGGGCTCTGATCGGAGGTGGCTGTCGATGATCTTCACTGAACTTGGGGTGCTGTGGTTGAAGGTGTGGGACTGGAAACTGGGGTCACGTTATCTGGGAATACGTGGTGCTATGGGGGACTCGGCCGGGGAGGCGGGAGCCCGGCCCTGGGAGGGCTCTGTCTCGGGTCCAGTGGTGGCAGCTCGCCTCTGACCTGGGCACACACAGGACAAAAACTTTAGCGCATTCCCAAGCTGATGGCAGTTTGCCAGAGGCAGGGGTTATGATTCGGGGGTTGCTTCAGTGAGTTTGGGGCACAGCAGGCTAAGGTCACTGTCATCGGTGCTGACCAGGAAAATCAAGTTTATCTACACAGTGACCTTTTATAGAGTGCACAGTTGGGGTGCAGCCCCGGAGATAAAGCTGGGGACCTGCTACCTGCCCTCCGGGAGAGAGTGAACGCTTGTGTCAGTGGGCAGGCTGGGTGCTCCACTGGTGCGGGCCACCGAGGAGGAAGGAGTGTCCAGCTTCTGCTGTGGAATGGCTGTCGCCACAGCTGTCCCAGCACCTCGCACCCCCCCGGCTTCCACGTGCGCTGCCGTGTTACATAACACCTGGCGGACCAAGACTCCTCCGTGGGCAGGACCGGCCCCACCTGTAGGAAAGTGGAGTCCCACGGGGGGAGACTTCATCGCCACCTGCTGGCCAGGCCATTCCTGAGGCAGTGGGGTGGGAGGTACGTGCCGTGTGCCGGTGAGGGGAGTGTGGACTGGCTTGCTACTGGCCACAGGCCATGGAGTTATGGACAAGACATGGACCTTCCGCCTTCCCATCAGTAGCCCAGGGACAACACTAGGGACAGTGAAATGAGCCAGGGGAAGGCAGCCTCAGCAGGTACAGAATGTCACAAGTGCAGTCCAGGGACCCCAGCTGCTTGCATTGGTTCCCCATGACAGTCCCCAGCTCCCAGCCCTCAGAGGCCTCTCTCTTAGGTAGGAAGGTCTCCTGGTCACAGGAAAGTTCCCGTTTGGCCTGGACCTGAGTGTCTTGGAGGTGGCTGTCCCTCAGCAGTGCTGTACCCACTTCCTTCCCGCCCCTGGCTCCAGGCCCTCTCCCGTGAGCGGTTCCCTTCCTCATGTCCCCGGTGCCATGGACCTCAATCCCAGGGCTGTCCGATCTAGGTGCCAGAATGGTACACAAGCAAATAAATAAAGGGCTTCTTGTCAGTCCTCTGAACAGCCTGGAAATAGGATGGACTCAGACCCCACTCATACTGCGTGCCAAACATAAAATAAGTTCAAGTAGCCCAACTAAGACCTGGAAATTTAAAAAGCCACAAAGGAGATATGATGGAAGACCAGGAGAGAGAGAATGGGAGAATCCAAACTCAGTTAAGATGCAAAGCTTCTTGGGGAGTGCTTAGCCACGTATGCGGCTCCGTACCTTGGTTTTGGTTCTTAAATACCTGTCACACTGCCTTCAGAATGTTATGGGCCTACAGTTCCAGACCCAGAAGATACATACTTCCTGTCACCATCTTGCCACAGGAAATTAGAACCTGTGACAGGAAGTTAGAACCAATCCTTATCTTGTCACAAGATGATAGCTGCTGTCCCCATCCTAACAGAGGAAGTTAGATCCTGTCTGCTATCTCTACTATAGGAAGTTAGGTCCTATCTCCTCCTGACACAGAAAGTTAGATCCTGTCCCCATCCTATCTCATCAAGTGGGCTGTATCACTACTCTGTCTCCTCAAGTTAAATCCGGGCTCCATCTTGTCACAGGAAGTTAAAACCTGTCTCTACCCTGTCGCAGGAAATCCGAACCTGTCTCCACTCTGTCACAGGAAGTTAGAACCTGTCCCTATCCTGCCATGGGAAATTCAATCCTGTTGTGGGAAATTAGAACCTACCTTCATCTCCATTCTGAGCCCCGAGCGGGCTCTGTGGACAGAGACAGGAAAGTGGGCCTGGAGCCCAAAGCTTGATGGCAAGGAATGAGGAAGCTGACCTCCCTACCTACACACAGACCTGCATCCCTCCCTCACTTCGTGACCTTGGGAGCTTACTTTCTGTCTGAGGCGCAGTCTCCTTATCTAAAAACTGGTACGCAAGCCACCCCGATGAGCGCTTGTGGTGATCACGCTAGAGAATGCCAGACCAGGCATAGCCTGGCATGCGGTCAGTGGCTGCTAGTGGTTGAGCCCTTCATCAGTCATCAGTGAGACTCACCGAGGGGGCCGTTGTTCAGGCGAGGAGCCAAGCGCTTGGGCGCCCCTTAGAGGGCAGGACATGCCTGCTGGGTGCGCCTAGGGTGGGGCTCTGCTGTGAGAAGGGACACACCTCGCTTTGGGCACAGCCCTTGGCCCCCAGCCACCAGCACCCCCCTGAGGGTGTTGGAAGAGGCTGGTGCTTGAGTCAGCGGCCTGGCGGTCCCCAGCGCCTCCCCCAGGTGAGTGAGGGGTGCTTGCCCCCGCTTGCCCGCTCTGTGGTTTCTCTGCTTGCTGGATTCGCCCTAACGCTCGACTTGTCTCTCTGTCCACTTGTCTTGCAGCCGCTGCGAGCGCTTGCCTTGCCATGAGAACCCGGAGTGCCCCAAGCTGCCTCTGAGAATAACCTACTACCACCTCTCTTTCCCCACCAACATCCAAGTGCCCGCGGTGGTTTTCCGCATGGGTCCCTCCAGTACCGTCCCCGGGGACAGCATGCACCTGGCCATCACCAGTGGCAATGAGGAGGGCTTTTTCACCACCCAGAAGGTGAGCCCCCACAGTGGGGTGGTGGCCCTCACCAAGCCCGTCCCTGAGCCCAGGGACTTGCTCCTGACCGTCAAGATGGATCTCCATCGCCACGGCACCGTCAGCTCCTTTGTGGCCAAGCTTTACATCTTTGTGTCTGCCGAGCTCTGAGCACTTGCTTGGCTGTGGGCTCCCGCC